CCCAAGCCAGTTCTTAACCAATGCGCCACTCGGCCGGCCCTGAAGTTCTTTTTTTAATCAAAATTTTATTTTCCTGATTACAAAATAATACATGCTAATTACAGAAAACTATAAAGAAGAATTACCCCTACTATCACCACTCAAAGAACCATTATTGGCGTCTTTCCTTTCTTCTGTGCATAATATGGAACTGCATTAAGAACCTATGGCATTGGTAGTATGTATTTTTCCCCCCCATAACATTCCATCATGATAATTTTTCTACATCATTAACTCTTCATAACATGCACAACATATTGTCATAAGAACTTTCTAAACTAATAGTTCCCTATTGTCATTTAAGCTGTTTCTAAATTTTTTGCTACTATAATAATGCTACAATGGACATCACTGTATAAAATAGTTGACTACATTTCACATCATTGCCATGAGTGGAATTACTGAATCACAGGTAAGAAACGAAAGGCTCCCGGTATCGCCAAATTCGTCTCCCCGCCCCCAGTGCACAAGCTGTGAGAGAATGCCATCCTCGCTGCTCCTGCAGTGGCACGGGGGATCTCATTTTAAACATGTGTTCTAATTTTATGGCTCAGGAAATTCTTAACATCTTGTAGCTATTTCAGTTTGCATCCTTTGGATGATTACTGGAGTTAAGCCGTTTTTCTAAATATTTAGTTGCCATTTTCAGCTTCAATGTTAAGGGCAATTACCAGGGTGCGACCCTGGGCCTTACCTGGTGAGGGTAACAGGGTGGCGGGAGAGGCCTAACAGCCCCGGGAGACCCTGGCCGTCGACCGGTCGGGGCTGCTCACCATGGGCAACGATCCCCAAGGAACCAATCAGCCTCTCTGATCCTGACCAGTCAAGACCCTGAGCCAAAGGCTGCCCAGGCTTGAGAACGAAGTAACTGGGAGACTATTCTACTAACCTATTCTGGGCTCTGGGCTGAAAGGAGCTCCCTAATGCACAATAGAAATATATCCCAAACAGGGACTCATGTTCCACCCAAGAGAGCCTTGCTGGCAAGAACTAGCAGGCTCAGTGGGTGGGAAATTTTCTTCCCAGGGCTTCCTTACGTGGGAATGTGAATTAAGTTTTCTCCTTGCCCTCAATCTCCCCAGAATCCCTTCCACATAGGTGCATACTTCATTCCATGACACCCAGAGCTGACTGACCCTTTCAAAATACATTCTGAAGAATCAGGCCTGGGGGAGAGGCAGTCTCTTACTGCTCCTTCTAATGGATTCAGTGGAGGCCTGCCCACGTGCAAGGGACCTGGGANTGTGTGTGTGTCCCGGACCACGCCTTCCACCGGCCACGCCCACACACAAGCCCCACCCCTCTTGGGCCCCGCCCCCAGGCCCAGCACCTATGGTCTTGATGACAGCCTCCTGGAACATGCGCTCTTCGTGTTCCTTGATGATCTTGGTGCCCAGGCTGATGGCTCCGTCGTAGCTCCCGGTCAAGGCGTAGTCGATGCTGAGCCTCAGCTGCCTCAGCAGAGTGTTAAACATCTCCAGCACCGTGGGCCCTGAGCGCGGAGGGGTGGGAGACCCAAAAATCCAGGGCTGGCACCCCTCATTCACTCTCTCCTCTCCTGCATTACCCAGCAAGCCTAGGCCCACTTCCAGCCAGGGGCTTCCTCTGCCCCTCCCTTTCCCGGCTGATCTCTCCTCCTGAGGTAACCGGTTCTGACACCTCCCTCCAGTGCCCTGTCCTTTCCTGGAAGACTAGGCAGCCTCCAACCAAGGGCGGTTCTTTGTCTTTGAGGGGTTCCCGGCCCTCACTCCGTTCTGGGCCCCCTTACCCACGGAGCCGGTGGCGGCGATGACCGCGGCTTCGGACAGGACCTCTACGATGCCCGCCCGCACTGTGGCCGCGCTGCGACTATTGGCATCCAGGTGACCCAGGAGCTGCTGGATTACCAGGTGGGAGTGCTGCGGCTGGGGAGAGGAAGATGTGCTGGTCCCCAAATAGCAACCCCCACATGGCCTCTGACCCAGGGCAGCTCCTGACTGGGCCCCAAATGCTGGGGTGGGCAAAAGTGACGTCCCAAGGCCAGTGGCACCAGAGGTGGCACTGATACCCCAGTTCCTTTTCCTGAGCTCCTCCCCCGTTGGTCCAACAAGGAGCAGAGCCAAATCCCAGTGAATACCTGGATTTCCACATTTTTCCTGTGCCCTTTCGCTTCCAGTGGGTCAACAGTCAATTTTAAAATATTGTCTTCCTTTTCATTTTCCCCAGGTCCCAGGTCTTATTGGTAAGGGCCACAAGAGGCCACATGGTTTGGTCCAGTGCTGCTCAAAGTGTGACCCATGGTCTGATGTCAATTCAAGATCTGTCCTATGCCCGTTTACATTGAGGTAAGCAGAGGAATTGAGAATAAGTGTTCAGTAAGCAATCTGACAATGCTTGTGGCAGCCAAGAATGATCTGTGGGCTTGTATTTTGCATTACTTTTTCTAGGAATTCTTTTTAATTGCATTTCATAAAGTATTGGTCTGTGATGTATTAGAAATAAAACTAAACTGGTCTTTCTCTACAGCAAGGTTAAATAGCACTGGCTCAGGCAACGGCAGCTTAGAAGTCAGAAGACAGCTGGCTTTCTCCATAAGCACGCTGTCCTGCTCCCAGAGGTGCCCTTGGCCAGGGGGACAAGCTGGACCAGGGGAGCCACTGTACCTGAATTGAGTACATGATGATTTTAAAGCAACGGATGGCGAACACCTTTGGTTCCCAAAGAGAATGGTTATCCAGATGGCTGTGAAGGAGAAAATATGGGGGAACAGCTATGAAATGCAAAGTGACATTAGGGAGGAGAGAGGAGCTTGGTGGGAGAGGGACACCTCCCCAGAGACCCAGCCCTTGCATAGGTCCCAGGTAAGTGAGGGGTGGCCTTCAGGTGTAGGTGAGAGAAGGGAAGCAAGAGGGACCCCAGGGAAGCCCCAGCCCCAGAACTGGATGGAGATCAAGGAACAGGGCTCTGTAGCTGTGGCCTCAGGAGTGAACCTGGGCACCTTCCATCAGCTTCGGGGGCCCTCCTACCAACTCCTCCTTAAAACTGCACTTGGCCACTGTGTGGTAGCTTTTTCTGTCACAACGCAGGAACACAGGCACAGAGAAGGGACTGACTTAGCCATGGCATCTCCTTCCCTTCTTCCCCAGCCAACAAGGAGGTGCCGGGACCTGAAACAGTTTGCTTGGGGGTGAGGGCGGGGGACTCACATGAGAACAGGCTTGATCGCGTTTTTGATGTTGCCAAAGGCAGCCCGGCCCAGCAGTTCCCGAAGACACCTCTCAGCCAGCTCTGCCGGGTTTTCCTTTTCCTTCTCTGGCGCTTGGAGGGGCGAGGGGGACCGGCTGTGGGAACACACAGCACACGGGTGAAGGAGGGGATACCAAGCTGGGAGTCAGGCTTTGTGCACGCCTGGGTTTTGGTGCTGTATCCATGCAAATGGTGATAGTAGGACAAGCAGGAATTTGATGTAGGTCCCAGGGGAGATATCACGGCTGTCAGGTTAAATGGGGTAAAGAAGCCCAGAGTAGAGGAAGATTGTGGGAGAAGGGATCATGTTTTTCTGGAAATCCTTAAGGATAGGCTTGATGTGCCTCTGTGGGAAGGACAGATACCTTGAGCACCATGGGCCTGATAAGGCACAGATTACGAGTGTCTCTGTGCCCCTAAGGCTTCGGAAGAAAAAGAGATGGGATATGAAGAGAGGTGGCAGAATAGGAGAAAGCAAAAGAAAGTCGGAGAGAGAGAAGAAGGGAAAGGAAAAAGAGGGAGGAAAAAAAGAAAGGCACTGTGGTTGGCTCAGGTGTGACTCAGTAGTAACTCTGTCACAGGGGGTGGAGGGGTGAACCCAGATCTGGACAGAAGAAGGTGTCAGCCGCAGGACTCCCCACCCTGAGACCACCACAGGCCCAGCTTGTCAGTGAGGTGCGGTTCCAGGAATGGCCACCAGAGGGCACACTTACTTTCCACACCTGACTGGCAGCATAGGCTCAACTGACAAGGTGAGGAGCCCAGTATCTTCAACCAGCGTCACTGACGCACAGCCAAAGAGGACAGTGACATGAACCTTTCCCTCCATCCCATTTCACGGGATGAATCCCATGGCTGGGGGCTTCCAGATTAAAACCCAATATCTGCAATTTGTGTCGAGTGGCTGCTGGCTGGTCAAGCAGGCATGTTTTAAGGGCCTGAAATACCATTAGGAAGTGAGGGAGGAAGGCAGGTTAGGGAGGAAAAGTCCTCGGTAATTGGAGCCGTGAAAGGCATTTAAAAATCTCCTTGGCTTGCTGCTTCCAGAGAGACCACGGTAACCCGAGTCTTGGTGCTTTGTTCTTACCAGCACACACTTACCCCCAGGGAGCCCAGCACCATTACTGTCCTTCCTTCATGAACACAGACCTTAAGGCATATAGCAGGTTGGCAGAAGGCCAGACCCCACACTCCTAGGGAGCCAGCCCTGGACTCATTGGAGAACAAGCTACAACAGCCAAGATCCGTGGCCTTGTAGTTAGGTTTTTCCAAACAGACCAAGCTGTGTGGCTCCCAAGCAGCGGGGACAGGCAGCCTGGGAGGGCGGCACGTGTCCACTGTGTAAGCTCCACCCTCACCTGCTTACCTCTCGGCCTCCTCTACGTGCTGCAGGTTGAAAAGCAGCGAAGGGACAATCTTGTCCATGTGTTGTGGATCCCAGATGTTGGCCTGCAATTCGTCATTCACCGTCTTCCTCACCACCCCTTGCAGACCTTTGATACCTGACATTCGGATCCTGTAAGGAA